GTGTGTTGTTAGACTTTAATTAAAATCTCCCAAAGGCAATATTTTGGCTTTTGCTCTGTATTTGTTAAATACTTTCACTTTGGCCAACATATGAAGGAAGAAAAAGAAAGAAGAGACCCTAGTGACTCTCCATCACCTACTCTTTCAGGACCACAAGTTCTTCAATTGACTTAGAGCATCTCTTCAGCTAATCACAGCAAGAAACTTCACAGCTATCAACCTACTTGACAAACAAGTTCCCTTGCTTTCCATGTGGCTTCCTGGAATACCAAAAAGAGTCAGGAGATGCTGTGCTTCTCCACACTGAGCAGCTCAGAAACAACTAATAAGTAGCGCAGAGGTGAGTCCACTACCTGCACTAGGATTTTTCACTCTTCTGACTAAGCGAGCTGAGAGCATCAGAGACCTTTACCTACAGTAAGCACAAACATGTTGACATTTTTCTGAGTAACTAGACTTATTCTTTGCTTCAAAAAGATAATAACATGCTCCATGATCTAGTCAGTGCTTAAAACAATCATTTCACAGAATGAAGTGCTAGTGCTTGCAATTCTGTTGCTACTTCTATAATAGACTCAAAGGCTCCTTATATACTGAAGCTAGAGGTAAAAAGCATATCTATTCCTTCAGTCCTAAAGTATTCCACTGTAGAGGCCAAGTCTCACTCTCTCTTTTCCATTGCATAGGAAGCCCAAAAGGGATGCTAGGATGGTAAGTCTGTGCTGGTTTTCAATGGTACACACAGGTCATCACCTCCGAATCGTATATGAGCAAATTGCTGAAAATGACAGAGCTGAAAAGTGCAAAAGGAAAAGTAATTCCTTCCTACTACTATTTTGTATCAGAGAAGTTGGCTTAAAATACTAAAGTTTTATGCAATTATTCTGTGGCCATACAGACCCCCTAGCTTTATGCCTTTCCTCAGAGATAGCTGGTGTGTCCTCTTCTCTGCAGGGACTCTTGGAAACTATATGCATAACTCTTAGCTTTTATATCCTCAACCCAAAATGCCACCCCTTCTCCAAACACAGGCTGCTTGCCATAATATCACAAAACCAAAACAGAGGCCTTTATCATTGCTGTGAATTCAAGAATGCTATTGTGTTTGTTTTTCTTTCAGGGCCACTTGGATGATCCACTCAGTGGTGTGATGGAGAAATCAAACCAATGGCACCATCACCCACTGATCAGTGAAGCAGGAGAGACACCAGTCAGTCAGCTGCAGGGCCATCCTTTGCCATCACCATCAACCTTTGGCCATTTAGCAGGCAAATGATATAAATTATATAAAGAACTGAAAGAACATGGGAGGACCATTATAAATATTTACGTTTTTGTTACCTTTCTGAAATTGAAGTCACAGGGGAAAAATCTCATATTCGGTCCAACTACAGTGACTTGAATCTTATTTCCCTCTCATTCACTCCAGATGGGATGACATGGAATAACAGTGGGACAAGGCTGAGAAAGAGACACACACACCCTTTTAAATAGACCCTATATCATTGCTCCCTGGCTCTGTGCTGACCAGGGTTCTCATTTTCCTCTACAGCACATCTCAGGGGCTCATTTTCCCCAGCAGAAAGAGTAAGCAAAAAAAAAAAAGCCAGTAGATCAAAATGACAGTTTTATATATTATCAGCTGCAAAGACAGTGGAAATTCAGGACAACTTTAGCTGTAATAAAAGAGGGACAATGGTGATATCAATATCTTTGCTTTTAATATGACAGCATGAATGTGCTATGCAATAAGCTGGAAATATTATCGGAGCCCCCAACTTGAATCTCTGCCAAGTAAACTATTTTTAGTGGAATGTGTTTAGCTTGCTTGTTAAAGATTAAAACCCAGGCAATAATTGCAGTTACTCTTCTGCCTGATTTAAATAGGCAACATTTATTAATGTACAGTGATTAGGCAAACTATTCCAAAGTAAGCCACAAAGACTTAAAGTGATGAGGAAACAGGATGATATCCTGCCTAAGAAAGTCAACCTCGTAATCTAAGATGTGTTCCATGATAAAAAGCTTATTGATGCAGACCAGAGGGAAGAGAATTACAAGTTATGAAAGGGAATTTGATTTGTCCTTCTGAAGTAAAAGTGATAAATGACTGATCAGAGCAAACTCTGCCACAGATTTTATAGATCCAGTTATTTCCTGCAGGTTTCCAACCAGAAGTTGGCTTAGAGTCCATGCAAGAGCTGGACTGGGATTCAGACTGGGAAAGAGATATACCCATGATCAAACCTCTGATCCATATTCTGTATTCACACTTACACATTAAATCAGAGTTCAATATCCTGCATATCTACTCTTTAAAATGTCCTAGTTGATCAGCAAAGTTCTCCTGCCCTGTCTGTTTTGCAAGTGCACAAGTCCATACAAGCTTGTACAAGGTCTTTGGCAAGAGATAGAATAGGATATGACCACCTAGTGTGCTGAGGGTGAGGAAAGTTTGCTTTTGATGAGAATATTCTGAACACTAGGAATAGCCAGTGATTTTTGCTCCATTATTTTATGCTGAAGAAAATAAGTCTACGAATAGATCTACCTGCTTCAGCTATTTGTGCAAAACACCTCATTAAATAGCAGCACTTTTTTTCCTAAAGAAGCCTGGTACATATCCAATGGGTAAAAGGATAAATTACTATAATCTTTGAATACACAAGACTACACAGAGCGGGTATTTCATAGCTGCACAAAGCCCATAATTGAACTTCTGCCCTAAGGATAAGTTTTCCTGCATGTAAGTGCTTCCAGATGCCAAATGGGGGTCATGTTCTTTGTCAGGAAAGCAGAGCTTTACATCCAGATAATTGTTGTCCCCAGCTGTCTTTTTTGTTGTTGTTGGGTTTTTTTCCATTGAGGCCAATTTTCCAACAGTTATTCAAGCAAATGTGCTCATTTCCCAGTTTCCCCATGATTCCCCACCCGTGTAATAAAGTGCAGATTTTGCATGGCTACATTCCAGACTTCGTGGTGTTAAAATCATAGCAACAATGAAAAAGCATGTTGCCTCAATAGTCATAATGTAGGATGTGAGCTACAGGTGACTCAGTGATAGTCAAACCAGGTAGTCTATATGAAAATAGAACAGTTTCTGTGTACAGACTGGTTAACCCATGGAGTTAGTACTCACACATGAAGGTTTTCATGGTTTGCTAAGGAGCAAAAACTACTTAGTCTGAATTAAAATGATGACTGCAATTCAGTTCACTGTGTCCCATCTCAGAACACAGTGACCATGACCAGCAAGCCCCTTCTTCCATAAATCCTTTGGGGTGGTCTCTGGTGTCAATCAAACATAAAAAGGTAAATATGATACCCATGCAGTATTTGGATCTCTTTTAGTAGTGAAATATTCACTGATTTGGGCCGGATCAACCGTGGCTGAGAGAGGAAAGTTCAGACTATAGTTTATTGCAGAACAAACTAAAAAATTGCAAGGAAGAGAGGGGATATTATAAAAGGACAACATAACTCCTTTATTTTCCTCAAAGTATTAATGATAAACTCTTGTGTGTGCATTTGCAATGCCAGTCTCTTGTTATCAAGCACTAGCTACCACTTACTTGGGTTACCAGACCTGTTGGTTGAAGGACAGCTTGCAGGAGTTCACAGTTCAGGCTGCCAAGCAACTGATCTTTAAACACTCAAGACCAAAGCCTGGGGAAGGATTTTACACCAGCTTGCTCAATTTTACCAATAATAGCACGGGAAGAGGTGGCTTCGGTCCATTGTACTTGTGCTTTTTGGACTGTCCCTCAGAGCAGACACACACCTGAAAAGGCCTTACCACTCACTCTTCCCTCAGAAAACAACCCACTTGTTTTAGTCCTCAAAAGATCCCTTAATCTTTGTGATAAGAAGAGGTTTGACTTTTACAGCAACCCACTCCTAATCTCTTTGGTGTCTATTCCCCCTACAGGGAAACCCACACTGTTCTGTGGGCTTCCTGATAAAAGTTGTCACTGCCTGATGATAAAAAGCAAATGTATGCTGTAATCTTAAAGGTCTGGAGCTGGATATTTAGAGCTCAGTCAGCACTGGGCCTTATAAGGTTGTATTTTCCCCAGAAAAGTTCACTAAATTTGTGGAAGATCTGAAAACTACTTCTTTTTTCTTTTTTTCTTTTTAATCATTAGTTGGTAAACAAAAAACAAAGATAAAGTATACAATCATCAAAATGCTCTTCATCTGAACATGCCTCTCCTGACCTTCTGTCAGACCAGCAAGCAAATAGGTTGTGCCAAGCTTTCTTCTCTTTGGAGGCTTGTGCCAAGATTTGGATCTTCTGATTTGTTAGCACAGATAACACCCACTCACATTCCCCTTTGCAAGAAAAGGTCAAGGAAAACAACTTGCTATCCTGTGAACTTTCAGGAAATATTGCCCAGCATCATGTGCCTGTGCTCCTCTCTGTGCTGAAACTTCACGAGACAATTTCTTAGTCCTGTTGTTGCAATTAACCTTTAGAGAAAGTGATTAACTACATTCTTACGCATGTGAGGGATTGATCCATATTATTAGCCTAGAAACTATGTCCTTATTGCAATTCTACAGCTGTTTCTCCTCCCTAGATGAAATTCTAGCTCCTTCCCTACAGCATGGTAGTGCTTGCTTACTCAAAATTAAAGAACAGTTATCTCCAGCAAAGACAGAGGTGATCACATTTCCTTCCTTAACTGGGGCACTGGAAATTAAAAAGTACTCTCCTCACCCAGTGCTGCTCCTGAAAGATCCTACAGAAAATCGAGCATAATACCTGTAATCTGGTCCAATATGCTAAACATTTACAACAACCAAAAAAGCTGGGGTCAGCATCATCTCTGATATGACATTCTTGGATGAGGAGTTTGGGCCAGGGGAGGGGAAGGTGGGGCAGGGAATCAGCCTCTTTGGGGATCTGTGCTTGGCTACTCTTTGTACAATGCCTGCCTCCAAGCATGAACACCCACCCAGCCCCACTGTCCCCTCAATCAGTACAGTTTTATACTCACCATGTCATAAACATTCAGAATCACTGGTTCATTTGCCATTGTTGACTGCAGCAGAGGCTGGATTAAAACCTTTCAGTCCCTGCCAGATGTGTGTTGATGCCCCAGGATATGCTTTCACCCTGAGCCAGATAGAGGGAAATGCCTCATCCTACAGTCGTGCCGAAGGAAGGAGTGTGGAGGGAGGAGGAAATGAGAGAATTCTCACTGGTATGTGTGTGTGTGTGTAAAGTTGGTTGCAGGGAGGCAGTAAGGGTTGGGTTGGGTTTGCTGGTTGTATAGGGTTTATTTTAGCCCTCCACGGCGTGACAGATCCAAGGTTTCTTTCTAACTCTGTAGTGCACCTTGGGGTCTGTAGACTCATACACCACTGTAACCAGGCACCGTCCAAGCTTGTAAATCCCGATCCACAGAAGACAGACTGAGCCCAAATATAAGCCCTCTTCTGGCACCGTGAGCAAGGCGGGGGGCAGTGTGTGCGGGGGGATTTCTCGGCAGAGCGGCAGGCTGCTACCGCAGCGGGCTGCCAGCACGACGCAATAGCTCTGGGCTCCAAGGCACGGAGCGGGGTCGGAGCGGGCGCCGAGGTCCCTCCTCCCGCCGCCGGAGCCCGGAGCCACCTCGGGATCTGTCCGCGGTGCTGGGATCGGTCCGTCCGAGCCGGGATCTGTCCGCGGTACTGAGGTTGATCTTCCCGGAGCTGGAATCTGTCCGCGGTACCGGGATAGGTCCGTCCAGAGCGGGGATCTGTCCGCGGTGCTGAGGTTGATCCCTCCTCAGACTCTCCTTTGCGGTCTCTCCGCCGCCGGCAGGACATGGTGAAGAGGCTGTGCCAAAGGGGCTCCAGCGCGGGGCTCAGCGGTGGGAGGGGGCAGAGGAGGGGGTTGGCTGCCCCCGGGGCACAGAGGGGATGCCGCAACCCCCATCCTGCCCACGGCGTGCAGGCAGACCTGGCGTCGGTGCTGAAGTTAGTAGGCAGTTCTCCGCGGGAGACGACGCGGGATTACTCGGCGTTGGGGCTGGAGGAAGGAAGATGCCGAGCGGGCGATGCTTCCAGGCGGGGTGCGGGGCCGGGGCTGGGTACCCCAGCTCTGTGTGCTCTGCTCTCCGCAGGGCCAGTCCTTATTTCACGATCAGCTCGTCCCGAGCTGGGCAGCCTCTACTGACTGACAGCCATGGGGACCTACCCCGTCCTCTGCTGGCTGGATGCATCGCTGCATGGCACACGGTGGGAGGGCGGGGAAGGGACGAAACGACTGGGCAGGGCGAGTAGTTTCACTCCTGGCAGCAGCAGGTTCTGGAGTTTTTTTCCGTCCTGGAGCTACTTTACAGTCATGTTAGGAACGGGCAGCTCTGCAATGTCTTGCCAACAAACACTCCCCTCTGACCTGGATGCGAGAATTAATTATAAAATGCACTGCGGTAAATTCATCTTCAATTTGCTCCTCCTCTCTCTTTAAAGGGAGAGCAGGGTTTGAGATGGTGCTGGGAGACGGTGCAGCTGAGAGGGAGAAAGAGAGTTTCTGTATCCAGAGATTTGCAGTGGTGTGGCAATTAGCACTCTGACCTTACACGTTCGTACATCACAGACTTCTCAAGTGAAAAAAAAAAAACAAAACACAACAACAAAAAAAAAACAACGCAGGGATGACCTCATCTGAGTTGGAGGCGTATCTGAGGCTGAGGCTCTCTGCCAGCTCACAGCCAACCAGATCTGAATGAAAATTGCAGGGAGCCCGTTACATCAGCAAAGCCCAGCATGCCTCAGCCCTGTCTTCAGCTGCATCCCGTCCCGGAGAAGGGCTCACCTCCGTTTGTCAGGACCAGAAAGAAAATACCATAGAGCTGCAGTCTCGTAAAAGACTTGTTACACGGTGTGCAGGAGGATTTCTTGTGAAGGCAGGCAGCATGAAAGAGAAGTGAGCCCATGTCCTGCATAGCTGAGTGCCAGCCCAACAGAGTCAGACATAAAACTTTTCTTCTGGATAGTGCCAAAGGAGATCCAGAACTGCTTTGCTCTAACTGTATGGATGTGCATTTTGAAAGAGCAAAGCCACAGTTCAGGCCTGGGCATGAAGGTATGCAACGTGGCAGGGACTCCAGCACAGTCGATTCACCTGGACTAGTAATTCCATGGGTGGGCTAAGGCAATTCCACACACACGGAACAGGGGCTTGACCAGCACCCTGACTTCCCTCCCCCCACAGTTCTCCAGCCCACCAACTCAAACTGTTGGGTGTCATTAACCATCTGTCTGAGCAGCCTGGGGCTGAAAGAGCTCTTTGTGCAGATGAGAAAAGGCACTTTCTCCTCCCTACCATCTCAGAGTCCAGATATTCCTCAGAGGACAGACTGAGCCCCCCTTTCATTTTAAAAGCTATGGAGCAATGAAAAGCTCCCTCTGCAACCACTCATGCCCTAACTTGTAAGACAGACCTCCTACTGAATCCCAGAGGGTTCCTACTAAACTTTCACAAATACTCCGAGATTGTCACTTTTGTATGTGTCCTGCTCTAGTGATGGTGATGTTTTAAGGAGACTTGAAAGGAGAGGGAACAGCTGATACTAGACTAACCGATGTAACTTGAAAAGCAGCATTACAAGCTCTTTCCACACTTGTCCACATGCTTACTTGCTAAATTAACTCCAATGACTGCTATGCCCAGAGTTCACTAAAACAAATTAGAGACTTAAACTAGATACACCTTCCAGAGACAGACATATATAAATACTTAGGATTTGGGAAAGATGACAGTCAGCCACAAGCTTAGATGTTTTGCCTGTAGACATTTGTTATTTAAAGGACTTTTGCTGTAGGAGAGACAGTAAATGTAACTTGCACATTAAGATCTGGATTCACTCCCTCTAACTTGAAGCAACTGGGAGATCTACATTACAAATGTCATTGCTCCAAGCTCCCTTTTCTTCCCCTTCACAGAAAGAAGTTGTTCCACATGGTGACTCAGCCTCCAGTGTTTCAGTGATCCATTGAAAGTTCCTTTTTTACCCCATTCTATTCTAGGTGACTTATTCTAACTCCAAGTAGAAGGGATCAGTCTGAATACAAACAGCTCATTAATATGAGATGTTTAACAGTCACATAAACTCTTCACAAGGCTTAGTTTGCTTTGGGCTGTGTTGAAGTGTTTCAGCAACAGCTCAGGCTGATACCAGTCAAGAAAGTGAGTTGCTCTATTTCAGGTGCATAAGTACAATCCTGCAGATAACCACACTGCCTACAGGCACGAGAGTCCATATCTTGCCCTATAAAAACATTAACATTTAAATGACTTGCAAATACAGAAGAAAAGGGAGATTCTTACTACTGGTTAAAGCAGCTGGAACTAGTGCTTTGGGTTCTGTTTTGAATTCTTCTTTTAAACACTTATGCTGCTTTTAGGACATAGCAGACACACACATTTTTTCCATACACATCCCTAAAGTTAGACAAGACTTTCATTCACAGTTAAGCAGCCTGTTGCAAGCCTGCATTTTCTCAGATTCTCCACATTCTTATCACTCCCTTAAAAGGGATTAATGTATTTGAGTTTAATTGTGATCATTCCCACTTACTATTCATGGCATAAGTCTGTGTGCATCTTCAAGGATCAGTGTCTAAAGGAGACAGCGTGGTCTTACATGAGTTCTTTGATTAAGAAAGAGGTGAAAAGGGTTAAAAGGAAAACAGTGCTACCACCCAACATGGACTAAAAAAAACAAGAATCAGTTACAACCTTCAGGAATTACCTGGTACATTAACCAAGGCAGTCAGTAGCTGAGAACTTCAGCCACCTTCTCCAGGTCCCAGTCACAAAAATGGCATCACTGTAAACAGAGCTGTGACATTCCACTGGGGGCAAGAACAGAAGAACAGCAGTGCAAGAGAGAAATAATGGCTAGATTAGAGGTGGTGGTCTATCTTCAAGTTTGTCTACCTGTGTTGCTATTCAGGAATTCTAGTTTAAATAAACACCTTTCCTTAATTTACCCTCATGTGCTTTCAAAGCCTCAGTAGCCACCCAGCAGAAAATGGGGCTTTCAAGCACATTTCACAGTGGGGCTGCCCAGTTTAAACTTCAAGACATTTAATGGTCATGTCTCCACATTAGGTACACCACCCCTGGGTGTCCATTATATTTTTTGACAACTTGTCATTTTGAGTTGTATAAAGTGCTTCCACCCATGTCAAGTTGTCATTATTATCCCATGCTGAGTACATTAGTCAAGACTATCCTTTTTAAAAGAGGTATAAAATCACCTTTTAAAACTACAGACAATATTTTTTTAGGTCTTTGAGAATTTTTTCAGGTCTTTGAGACTTTTCTCCCTGCTTCGAGAATGTAAAGGGAGTTGCTATGTCCTTCTTCCATCTACAGCAATAAATCACCACCTGGACACATGCTGGAGCTTTGTAGCCTCATTCTGAGAATGTGAGAGGAGGTATTTTGATTGAAAGAATTTTATCTCACTTCTATCCAAGACACTTGCATATACCAAGGATTTGAATTGAGTGTGGGCTATGGGAAAAAATGCGGAAAGAAAATCAGCATAGGATGCCAGCAATGTGCTTTGCCCTATGTAAGGCAACACATGAAATATTTAACTTCATATTGCACCAGAAAGAGAAAGAACAACAACTAAATTGGATTACCTCAATCATTTAAAATATTTCCTTCAAGACTGTGGGGATTTGTAGCTGAAAGCTAGGCATGTGTTAGTAGATGGGGGAATAATTGACATTTACATTGAATTGAGTCAATCCTGATTTTGCATTTTGTCTCCCTTTTCCTTGCAGCTACACTTTGCAACTTTCTACTCTGAAGCTGTTTGTCAGGAAGCAATGAAGGCTGGCAGCTCCTAACATGGCTGGCAGGGCAGGGACTTCACTATCTAGGGCTCTGGCCTACAGCCCATGAGCAAGGTGTGCAGGGCAGACCTGGAGATGGCCACCACATTCAGCCAAGAGTCCAGATCACCAGGCAAGTTCATAATGATAAGGCAGGTCTAAGGTCAAGCCAGGACATCAGCCCTTGGGTTGGGCCCAGCCAGGCAGAGCCAGAGACCAGCACCCTACTGACGTCACCAGGGCAGGGATTTGTGACCCCAGGCTGGGCTGAAATGGTGCTCCTGGGCCATGGAGAGGCCCCAGGGAGTACAGGACTATCCCCTCTGTTTACATAAAGCAACACTGTCAACTGAGAGGCAAGCAATGTACATAGAGACTTTCAACCTGGAACCTGGGATGAAAAAGCTGAACATTCCTGCTCATTCTTATGCTAAGGATTAGGCAAGTAGTTGTTGTTATTATTGCTATTAAAAATTCACAGCACAAACAATCATGGGTCAAAAGCAGCCAATGGATGCAGTTAAAAGGGACAGAACACTAACAGGAATTTGTGTTGTATACCTGAGGA